GAAACATTTGTTTAAAATGTACTTTTGCTCTCAATAGCTTTCCATCCTTCAACAGTTGGTAGTCTAACCACTGAAGCATTATGCTACCATGGGAGAATGATTACTTCAATCTTCCAAGAGAAGCTGACTAGGTTTTCAACATCATTGTATATGGTGAGAAAATTATATTTGACCATGTTTTCTGCTTATAACAGGAAGAAAGTAGCATGTACTTAAGATTCTTTCGTAAAGGTTTCTTGCTTTATGCCATTTTAAAAATCTAGGCAGAAATTGGTTGTCCTTTGTTCCTGGGATGCTATGAATGTTTTTACATTGCGTGTGATATCAGTTCCAGCTGTTTATAGCTGACACGTTAGAATAAATGAAAATGGATGTTGAGAAGAAATAGCTGAGGGATTTACCTAGAGCCAAGAACTTGTTTTTATGAACTGAATTAGAATATAATACATCTTTTTGGTTTTGTGTTAATCCTGATTCAAGTTCTCCGTTATTGGTCAGTCCACACTAACTCTTCCTAACTTCAACTTTCAGTGCTCTGTATTTTAATGGTTTCTGCTTTCCTGGTTTGTTAATTGCGGAGCTTTCTCCATTATGACTGAAAACCACTTTTTTGTGTATTCAGTGTATCTGTTGAAGGGACCTTAATTTAAGACTTACTTAAAATGAGGGTCTCTTCAAATATTTCAAGAGCAAGTGGCTACTAGGTGGATCCCCCCCGACCAGAACCATTGTATCTTTTTTCTTCAGTTGGCATGTATCTGGAAAAAAAAAATCACACCATAGTCTTTGGTGGGAAAAAAGGCAAGTTAGGATCATAAGACAATTTTTTTTTTTTTTACTTCTCAAAATAGCAGAGTTGAAAGGCAACAGATGTGTGAGGCTAAGTCTAGAGTGAACAGTCCTCAAAGGCCACCAGATAGATCTGTTTTCTTTTTTAAAAGTCATGGTGAGACCCAGCACAATGATCTAGTGGCTAAATCTTCCCCTTGCAAATACTGGGATCCCATATGGGTGCCAGTTCATGTCCTAGCAGCTCCACTTCCCATCCAGCTCCCTGCTTGTGGCCTGGGAAAGCCCAAAGCCTTAGGGCCCTGCACCTGGATGAGAGACCTAGAAGAAGTTCCTGGCTCCTGGCTTTGGATCAGCTCAGCTTTGGCCGTTGTAATCACTTGGGGAGTGAACCAGCGGATGGAAAGTCTTTCTAACTCTCCTTCCCTCTGTAAATCTGCCCTTCCAATAAAAATAAATAAAATCTTCAAAAAAGGTCATTGTGGCTAAATCTTCAACTCTCATGAAGGGATGTAAGAGAGAAACACTGAGCACTAGAGATGCTCAGGAGATGAGATGTTACATGTGCATCTACCTACTACGCACACAACAGTTATGCTGAGAGCATCAGTTAATTCCACTATGCCCCCAGGAAATGAGATGTGTGGACACCAGTTGGAATGATTTCACACTTTAGACTTTGTCAACATTGTTCAACCAAAAACATAATGTAGACAAGAAACAACAATTATATGGATATATTTTTAATATAAAGCTGGCCAGCATTTGTTAGTATTTCTGCAGCAAGACACATGTTTTTAAGAATACTGTATACAATCACTTTTGAGCGTATTAGTGGAAAAAGGGATTTATAGCAAATTGGCAACTTGAGCTTAACTGCTGAGGTCCCCAGTGTTTTTCTGTTTTTTGCTCTCCAATGCATTTCCTATAATCCAAGACCCAGTCCCAGCTTTCCTGCTGTGTTCTTTTGCTGATTTAACCAGCAGGGTGAAAGAAATTATTCCTTGAATGCATCTTATCTTATTGTTGTTTCCTTTAATGCCATTTCCTTCTAAGAATATTTCCTGATATGTTGAATTTATGGTACTTTAAAAAAAATAATACATTCTGGCAATAGCCCTGTACCAGGCTGATCCAAAGAGCACAAAGTAATGATTTTGAACACTGTGCAGGACACAGCCCTAGCCCTTTTGGGAAAATAAATGGTCATGGTTTGCATGCTATTAGGAGCCACCCATTCATTATTATATTCTGTAACACATGCAAAAAGGCTACAATTTAATATGGTACGTTACAGCTATGACTGAAGAAATGCAGATGTAGCATACCTCATCAACCTCTTCATGAATTTTCTAAGAATATGGAACTTATGATAGGGTTGGATAATTATGATAGATACACTCTGTGCCTCTACACAGAACATATCTTTTGCGTTGAGTCTCTTGGTCACTCCAAGACCAGAGGCTTGGGAATGCATTAATGAAATATTCTTTGCTTTCTGTAATGATCAGAATCTTTTTTCCAAAAAGAAAAAGTAGAGAAACATTTCTTTAGAAGATTTGTTCCTGGTTACCAGGCAGCCTACATTGGGGGAAATGTTTGTTTGTGGGTGTGTGCATATGTGTGCGCACACACATATATGCATTTAGGAAAGCGTGATGACTGCTGAAATGGATAGGCTTTGAACAACTGGCACTTTCCTATAGATCTGGGCACTATTAAATTTCACATGCACATTATGACAATATATATATTCAATATTCTTAAAACATACCTGCTAGGATTGTGCTTAAACCTCCATTAACCTCAGCATCTACACTTGGTGCAATTTGGCATCAATATGGGGAAGCATATTCATTTTCCTGGCAAAGGCAGCCCTGGGATTGGCCTAGAGAGCTGCCACAAGAGATAATGGTATTGGCTCAGGCTGCAGAGTGTGAAACATATGTCACACGCTGCCAGCAGGGAATCGGAGGCACATATATTGCATCTCTACCACAGAGAAAGAGCTGTATCAATTGCATACTTTAAGATTTTGGACATAGAACGCAGAATGTTATCCTGTTCTAATTGATCTTAATGTTCTAAGTTATTCCACGGTAACTCTAGTTTTGGACAGCCAAGTTATTCTAATACTGTTTTGGACATGATAACTGTGAGTTCTGCCCAAGAAAGCTATGTTCTTTTGGAGGGTATTTCATCTCTTTTCTCTTTAATTTTTCCTGCTGTTCCATGGGGAAAATAATTTCTGTTCTGTTTCCAAGGGCATTATTGAAACAAATTGAAGAATATTGAACAAAATACTGAAATATGTGAGGAAAAATCAGCAATGAGTATATGAAATAAAGAATGGAGCACGATGTTTGCTTAGAAATAACATTATGGTTAAACTTTCAATTCTGGTCCTGCAACTAAAGGCATATAAGAGCACTAGGGAGTTACATAGCACCTTTCAGCTGTAGGATCCTAGCAATGAGTACCTTCGTTTTGCAAATACGGAAGATGAGTACCAAAGACTAGGAAATGAGATCCCACAGAGGTTACTAAATAGGGCTCCAAAGAGGAGCAGGAAAGGACCCAGATCAGGGTGCACTGATTATTATAAAAATCTCTTTGTCTTCTTGATCAATTATCAACCAGTTGGATGCCTATGTACAGTGGTTGATTCTCAAATGATCCAAAGGTAGGGATCCTATCAGAGTCTATAAGACAGGGATTAAGGTGCTAAGAAAGGGATAAGGCTTCCTTTTATCTCCAAACCTCCAGGTAAAATTGACTTATTTGGCCTTTAAAGACAGTGTAAGTTTGTAAGACATTATACAATCAGCTTTGCATTATAGCTCCCCTGAGATTTATCCTTCCAACACTTCTCTGTAGTTTATTGGCACTGTCTTTTGTGACCTGATTTCTGTGACAACTGAGTACTGATACACTCCATGTATCAAAAGATATTCTTGATCCTTCCTGTCTTTGACACATACTTAGCAGCTGCTCTGCCTAAACTCTTGGCAGAAGATGATATAGATGGGAACAGGAAAGAGTTCTTTGAGGCCCACTGGCTACAGGAGGAAGTCATGGCCCTCCTTTCAGAGAAAGGTGCACTTCTTTAGTCTAACACTCTCCCAGCTGAGCCATTTCAGCTGGGCAAGAAAGGTGCAGTTCTAGAGAAGTTGAAAGCCAGGCTTGTCTATCAGAAGATCATGTGAGGTGTGGGGGAAATCTTTCCATCTGAATATATATTTGATTGTTAAAATCAATGTGCATAGTCTTCTAGGTTGCTTTTTGGATGCTGAGTTTTAGAACCAGTTCCCAGTCCCAATACATTTAGACACATCTAGTATGATTTCAGATGAACTGCTGACCACAATCCATTTAATGTTGTTAAAAGTCTCACTTTTGGTCAAAAGAACCTAGGAGGCCTGAATGAACATGCTTTGTTGTTGCTTTAAGTAGCTGATTGCTCACCTTCTCAGTTCCACTACTGAATTGTTGGTGACAGGTAACTCTTTTTTACTCAAAAAGATTTCAGGAGGATAATTTAGTCTACCTAATCATACCTCTAGGAGCTCAATTCCTTGATATCTATCAGACGCTTGTAAGTCTCACTGATCTCTGTAAGAGTTGGTGCTTTTATTGTCAGAAGCTGGGCACTTGAGTGCCAGTTGAAAAATAAGAAATATCAATAGTCCTAGGTATTATTAGTATAAAGATGCGGCATTAGTGTCCATACTCATTGATTCAGGCACTGGAACTGAAAGAAAGGCTGATTATAAATAAATGGGGAAATGGATGTAAACTGTCTTAATGGCTGAGCCACCACTGAAGGTAAAAAAAGAAAAAAAAGATTGGCGTATTACTGTTCAGTTATCACTATCTGTACATTAACCCCTGCTGTGCAAACACAGAGCTTTAGTGCTAATCCACAGGCTAATGTCAGCTGTGAAACTTTACCCTTTTGAACAGTATTATAATTAAACCTGAATTTCACCCTTAAAATCCTTGAGAACACCTATAGTCTACAACTTAGGCGTGTAGTTTTTCTTTCATGATGAAAGTACTCTATAAAGACTAAAATAAAGCTAGTCAGGCAAGACTTGAACAAAAGTAATTGGAGAATTTTACCACAGCCTGGCATTAAAAAAAAAAATCTTTAGAACCCTAATTATTATGTTTAATAGAGTGGAAGGCAATCTGATCTGGTCTTCTCTATTCGCTGTGGTGCTTTCAGGAACTTGTGTGACAGAGAACAGATTTTACATTGTTATTGAATTCCCAAGTTGAGCACCTTGGTCACAGTGTATTGAATCTCCCCTCTCAAAATTGAGATACCTGATATGGGGACAGGTCCAAGTTCTGCAAATATTGAAAATGCTCCAAAGGCGAAAAGCATGAATACGTAAAAGCCTTTGTGTATTTCAAACCTTGTTGTTTTTTTTTTCACAAGTCTTAGCAGAATTCTGTAGAGATATGCCGCACACACACACCTGTTTATCAATGCACATGCACACAAACAGCCAACGCTTTGTAGTCTGCTTCCCTTCAGCACCCAAAAGACCCTACAGATATGATTGCTAGTCTTTCTGGGGGAACTGAAGACAGCAAGGAAATCTCATGAATTTCCTTCTACCTGAAAAGATGAATAAAAAGATAGACTTTACATTTAGGCTTTTGTGCATCGGAGCAGGAAAAAATGAAGAGAGAACTGTCTTGAATTAACTGCTACCAGATTGAAGTTCAGTCAGTAAAGGAAACAAATGGTAAAGTCCTGAATTGTCCGCCCAGCAGGGACTGGATGGGATACTTTCAAATCCTGAAGCTTTCAATCCAGCATGGTGGCTTTGCTTTGAAGGTTACAACGGTTCCCGGCACTGAACTCTGTAAGCCTCATGGGAAATGGTGGGTCCTGAAAAGGGAAAGAAGAAATTCATAGGTGAGCTGAGCAGCTGTAATCATTCACGTGGCAACATGCATTGGACAATAATATGCCATCATTAAAATTACAGTTATGAGCAAGATGGATCAGCAGTGAGACATTACGTGATGAATACAGGAGACAACATTATACATACAGTGTTACAGTCATTTTTAAAGGAAAACACTGTACATGGAGCAAAAAAATAGGAAATGCACGAAACTGTTCAAAGTTTGAAATTATCCATAAATAATTTAATTTCTTTCCCCCTTTCTCTTTATATTTTACACATTGTTTTTGGGAAATATTTAGTAATTTGATAACTCAAAACCATTCTTTTTGAAATCCACAGGAAATAATCTGAGTTATGGAATTGGACAATTCTGAATTTGAATTTAGCTTTGTCACTTGGTGTCTCTGCACAAATAACATTAGTGAGACTTAGTTTCTTTATGTGTAAAGTGGGCATAATAAATCCACCTAAAGGAATAAATGGGATGTAGCAGGCACACAAGTAGCTGTTATAAGCCATCCCAGGCTTTTTGGAGAACAACTTTGTCATATACATGAGTATTTCAAAAGTTCATAGCAAGATATTTGCTTCTAGGATTCTACTTTGTGTAAATGGTTATGAATAAGGAAAAATGTTTATGTTCAATGAGCTTATTCATATTCTTGTCATTATAGAGATAAATTGTATAAAATGTTAATGTTTATCAGCAGATAACTAGCTAAATAAATAATAGCAAGCTTTTCAAATAAATAAATACATCTTTTAAAAAAGAAAATGATGGAATGGATACAAATGTTAACAAGATTTATATTTAGGTGGTGGGATTCTGACTGATTACAGTTTCCGTCATAATTGTTCTTCTTTTATTATGAACATGCTTAATACATTTTTTGAGATGTAGCATAAAACAGTGTTAAAAGTGTTAACAGTGTTTACACCATCAGGTGCTTACAATCAAAATGTCTCATGAGTGATCTATTAATGAATCACAAGGACTCACTGAAAAAGACACAAATGAATAAGAAGTGCGGCTTAATACACTTTTAAAATTAATACTAATGAGAATGATCATCTTCTGGTTATCTAAGCAATGTGTTGTATCATAGAATACTTGGAAAATAGAGAAAAGGCTAAAACATAGGAAAAGGACAAAGAAAAGGATAAAGAAAAATATTGACCAATAAGGTCAAGAGACTTTTTGCCATCCTGCCTCCTTCTCATTCACTTGTTCAAAAATATTCATTATGTACTTTGTGTCAGGTACTGTGCTAGGGGCTAGGACTAACATGTGAACAAAACGTAGTTGCTGCCCTTAAGAACCTTTCAAGATAGTGTGAGAGCTAAACAACTAGTACAGCTATTAAGACACAGGAGAAAAGGGTCTTGCAGTAATATTCTAGTAGCAATCCAAAGGCACATACAGTTCAGGGGCTGAATATGTGAAGTGGGAGCTGAAACTGCTGGATGACTGTTAGGCAGGTTACTGAAGGACCAGTGTGCAGAAGATGGGAAGTTGGTGACAAAGCATCCCAGTCACAGGAGACAGCAGGGGCATGTTTGACAAACTGAAAGAAGTAGTGTGCAGTGCACACAAGAATTTGCAGGTAGGACTCATTGGGAAGGAAGTGTTACAGTTGAGAATTAGGAGAGATGAGCTTGGAAAAGTGAGCAAGGGCTAGATCATGCAAGACCTTGTAAACTGTTAAGGATTTCAGAGTATGCTGAGAGGCCAGTGGAAAAACCAGGAGCAAATTAGTTATTTTATTTTATTTTAATTTCTCCAGTGGCAATATGGTGTGTGTGTGTGTGTGTGTGTGTGTGTGGAAGGGAATCCCTGTGCCTATGGAACTGTATCATGAAAAATAGTAATACAAAAAAAAATGGGTATGCATTGAGAGAGGGACAAGATTGGAGGTAGGCAGATGCGATGTGGGACACACTAGGCTAGGCTGCAGCATATTGTGGCACACACAAAAACTGGGACTAGGGGCCGCCCTGGCTAGGCTGAGCCATCCAAAGGTATGCATGAGGCTCTGGTCTGTGACAGGCTGGGCTGGGCTAGGCTGCACTACCCATCAGTTTGCATGAGAGATGGGGCTGGGCACAGAACTGACCAGACTGCTGTGTTCACTGATATATGAATTGGTTGGTGCAGGTGACAGAGCACATCTGACCCTGCACTGGAGAGTGCACACAAGAGTCAAGTTTGGGGCCTGGCATGGTAGCTTAGTGTCTAAAGTCCTCATCTTGCATGTGCTTGGATCTCATATGGGCATCAGTTCTTATCCCGGCTGTTCCACTTCTCTTCTAGCTCCCTGTTCGTGGCCTGGGAAAGCAGTCGAGGACAGCCCAAAGCCTTGGGACCTGCACCCACATGGGAGACCTGGAAGAAGCTCCTGGCTCCTGGTTTCAGATTGGCTCAGCTATCATCGTTTTAAATTCCCCAACGAAATCATTGAAAATCCCAGGCCACAGAGAACATCGTAACATATGGGATCTGACCTTGGAATGCCTGTGTCGGGTCTGAGTTCATGTGCAGTTGCTAATGTCTGTAAAGTGACAGCATATCTAGAAGCACATGGGGAACATGACAGCTCATCTAGGCCAGCAAAAGATGCTGAGTGCCTCATCAGAGGATGGAAAGCAGAACAGGATGAACCACTCTCCTGGCCAAGCTTTGCAACATGTTCCTGGGCCTGTGGATTCATGGTCAGATTTGGCCTTGGAAAGATTTCTCAACCCTGGTGCAATGAAGCTGGCAATATCTTAGTACTCAAGTAACACCTTTATAGAATACTCTTCTCCACATCGGGGTCTCCAAGACGTCATCAAATGACTGGCTCCTACACCCCCCCTCCACTGCAGACATAGAAGAAAAACAAAGGAAACATTTGTCCCACCTAACTTCCTCTATGACTCAACCCTTTCCACACTAACTGCCCTAACCCTTTCCACACTAACTGAACACCCGCATGGATGTTTATCCCTCTCAACTATGTAAACAATATTAAAAAAAGATTGGATGCAGGGAGACAAGTTTTATGTGTATAATACATATATAATATATATGCACAACACTATACTGGATGGTGTATAGTAGAATATCTTTGCAGTTTTAGCTTGATTTTCCTGATGTCTTGTCATGTAGCATTTTTTTCTTGTGGTTTTTTTTTTTTTGCCATTTGTATCTTCTTTAATAAAGAGTACATTCAAAGTCTTTTCCCATTTTTTGTTGTGTTGTTTTTTTCTTACGTTTGAATTTTAGAGTACTTTACACATAACAGATATAAATCCTTTACTGGATATGCATTTTGCAAATATTTCCTCTCGGGGAATATGTCTTCTTATCCCCCAATTATTGCTTTGCAGAGCAAATATTTTTAGTTTCATTGAGCCACAATTTATAATGTTTTTCTCTCATGTATCTTAATTTTGATATCACATCTAAGAACTCTCTGATTTCACACGCTTAAGGTGTTCTGTTTTTCTCTGAAAGTTTTCTAATTTCACATTTTTAAGCTAAGGTCTCTAATGTATTCTGAATTAATTGTTGTATACCTTGTGTATGGTGTGAGAGTACTCAATTGTTAGAGCACAATTTGTTGAAAAGAATATTTCCTTCATAGAACTGCCATTACATCTTTGTATAAAAATCAGTTGACTTGGGGCAGTATTGTGTCATAGTGGGTTAACACACTGCTAGTGAAGCCAGGATCCCATATCCAACTGCCAGTTTGAATCCCAGCAGCTCTTCTTCCCATCCAGCTCCAGCTCCCTACTAATAAACCTAGAAAGCAACAGGTGATGAACCAACTGCTTTGCCCGCTACCACCCGTGTGGAACAGCAGGATGAAGTTTTAGTTCCTATGTACAGCCTGGCCCACCCTGGTCACTGTGCCCATTTAGAGATGAACCAGTGTATGGAAGATATGGATGGAAGATTGTTTGTCTCTGTCTTGTTGACTTTTATATAAGTAAACAGAAATCTTGGGGGGCGGGAATCAGTTGATTTTATTTTCATATTTTCTTTTTTTATGTTTTTTTTTTTAATTGGAAAGTCAGATATACAGAGAGGGGGAGACAAAGATCTTTCATCCATTGATTCTCTCCCCAAGCAGCCACAATTACCTGAGCTGTGCCAATCCAAGCCCAGGAGCCAGGAACCTCTTTTGGGTCCCCCATGAGTGGGTGCAGGGTCTCAAGGTTTTGGGCCATCCTCTACTGCTTTCCCGGGCCACAAGCAGGGAGTTGGATGGGAAGTGGGGCCATTGAGATTAGAACTGGCATCCATATGGGATCCTGGTATGTGAAACGTGAGGACATTAGCCAGTCAGGTACCATGCCAAGCCCCATATTTTATTTTTGATTCTGTTCCACTCCACTGGTTTATGGGTCTATCTTTTTGCCCTTATGTAATGTCTTAAGCAGTATAATCTTCATTTTGACTACTATAGCTTTAATTCTACAAATGTGTTTTTCTTTTTTCAAAATTTATTTTAGTTTTCCATAAAAGTATTAGAATTGCACGCCCAGCGCAATGGCTCAATGGCTAACTCCTCATCTTGCAAGAGCCAGGATCCCATATGGGCACCAGTTCATGTCCTGGCTGCTCCACTTCCTATCCAGCTCCCTACATGTGGACTGGAATGGCAGTAGAAGACGGCCCAAAAGCTTGGGACCCTGCACCCACGTGGAAGACATGGAAGAAGTTCCTGACTTCCGGTTTTAGATTGGGTCAGTTCTGTCTGTTATGGCCACATGGAGAGTGAATCAGCAGATGGAAGATCTTTCTTTCTGTATCTCTTTCTCTCTGTAAATCTGCCTTTCCAATAAAAAAAACTTAAATCTTTAAAAAATATTTTAGAATCAGAGCCAGCATTATGGTTCATCAAGTAAAACCTCTTGTGACAACAATACCCCATACTAGAGAATCAGTTGAAATCCCAATTGCTCTGCTTGTGATACAGGCCCTTGCTAA